TTTGTGGAACCGGGGATTGAACTCAGGCCCTTGTGCTTGCCAGGGCAGCGCTTATTCCACTGAGCCATCTCCCCGGCCCCGAGCTTAATGTTAAAATGTAATTTTAATTGTTTCCATTACAGAAATAATTCTTTTGGAAAACCTTTTTTCCCCTCTTTTATAAACTTGGATCTGGACTCTTGCGAGAAAACAAGATTACAAGAAGTAAATAATTTAGGAAAAACCCTACATTTGTTAATGAGTTGAGTAGCATGGAGGGGGGAGGTCTTTGAGACAGGCTGTGCAGTCCCGTTGGCCATGAATTCACTATATAGCCCAGGCTGGCCTCTAGCTCACTGAGATCCTCCTGCCTCAGCCTCCTAAGTTCTAGAATTACAGGTATGCACCACCATGCCCAGCTCTAATTTTTTTTTAGTACCAGGAATTGAACTCAGGACTTTGCTCTTGCCAGACAAGCACTTATGCCACTGGCCTATAGTCCCCACCCACTAAATTTTTAAAATTAGTAGTTAGACTGAAAATAAACTTAAAGTTTTAAAATCTTTTATGAAAGAAGTACCTTGTTTTTAAAAAGTGGCCAGTTGGGGCTGGGGAGAGGGCTCAATGGAATAAGCACTTCCCTGGCAAGCGCAAGGGCCTGAGTTCAATCCCTAGTTCTGCCAAAGGGAAAAGAAAATAATGTGACCAGTTATTCAAGACAGATCAGGTTGCCAGGATTACATTGAAATTCGGTGATTTAAGTCCAAAGAACTTAAGATAGCAGTAGTTGAATGCTTCACTTGACCTCACTGAACTAGAAAAGACAGAGTGGAGTGAATGAGATAGGAGTAAGAGCATCAGCAGCATTTTTCTTGAGCTCTTGTGTTTGCCCTTCATCTATATCTATATCCATATATATATGTGTGTGTGTGTGTATATACACACAGTTTGTTTTTTTTTTTTAAGGCAGGGTCAGGCTGGCCAAATAGCTCAGTAGATTAAAGTGCCTACAGTGCTGGCCCCGCCCCTGGGGCACACTGAGACTGCAGTTAAGACTAGATGTGGTGGCTTGTGCCTGTAATCCCAGCTCTTGGGAGGCTGTGAACAGGCTGATTACTAGGAATCTGATCTAGTAGTGAGAACTGGAACACCCTGTAGACCCTTCCTTAAAATACAAAAAAAGAGACAGGGTCTTACTCATAATTCAGGGAATTCTTGAGCTCACTATCTTAGGCTGGCATTAATCTTCCTGCTTCAGCCTCCAAAATGCTGGGTATTACAGATGTGGGCCTCCATGCTTGATCTTTTACTTATTTATTTTTTGAGAGCGTTTGGCCATGAGGATCAAATTGTCCTTCAACTCACTATACAGCCCAGGCTGGCTTTGAACTCATAGTGGTCCTCCTGCATCAACTTCAGCTGGAATTAGAGATGTATATAGTATGTTATATCTTGCTGTACTTTAGACTTTTGACAGTTGAAATTAAAATTTCAGTTTTCAAAACCAGTTTTAGCTGGATTGAGACAATTTTGTTTCTTAATGATAGTGCCTTTGTGTAGCTTTGAGAAGGCTTATGGGGTTTCTTGAGAGCATTAAAAAAAAAAAAAACTGCCATGACTTGACACTGGCTTTTTGTCTTTGAGGCAGGGTCTCCCTATGCAGTTCAAGCTGACCTTGAGCTCAGTATGTAGCCCAGGCTCTTCTCAGACTTGCAACAATCCTCCTGCCTCAGCCTTCTGAGTGCTGGGATTATAGGGATGTGCCATCACCTCTGGCAAAACTTTTTGTTTTGGTACCAGGAGTTAACTCAGGACCACAAGGTCAGGCAGACACTAAGCTCCTCAGCTCTTTCCCTGGCCCTTGATACTGCTATTAAGGGTTAGGTTATTCAGATATAGAAGTAGGGAAATATGTACATGATTATGCCTTTTACATTCTTTTTCTTTTGGTATATGTTCTCACTACACAGATGGGACTGTAGTGATCCTCCTGTTCAGCCTCCCACAAGCTGGGATTATAGGCGTGTGCCACCACACCCAGTGTCAGTCTTAAGTCACTGTCTCAGCTTCCCCTGGGGGGAGCAGGACTGGCACCTACTGGCTTTTTTGTTTGTTTTTAAGACTTCTCAACAATATAACTGAGGCTGGCCTTGAACTCAGGGTGATTTCCTGCTTCAGGCTCCTGAGGACTGGAATTACAGGCATACACACCACTAATTGGCTTCTATTCTGTTACATTTTATTCAATTCTAGGAATAGCCTTTGATTATTTTTAGGTACTTATATAGGAAGTATAAAATCTGTTTACTTTAGTGGGAATTTATTTTTTAAATGATAACCAATAAATGTAGTATGCAATTCCAATTAGCCTTCCTTTAAAGATAAAATCGTGGAAACTGGTAGAAGGAGGAAGAAAAAACTACAAGTGTTCCCAGGACTTAGGTACTACTTCTACTTTGGTGAACCTTGTTTTATTTTTTTAATTTTATTTTTAATGTGTTTAATACAGGGTTTCACTACACAGATCAGACTCAGTGATCCTCCTGTTTTCAGTCTCTCAGGTGTCTTAATCATGACCTCAGTGGGCCCCAGGGGCAGGGCTAGCACGGCAGGGGGCCATTGGACTCCTGTCCCTGTGTCTGCCTAAGGTGCTTTAATCTGCTCAGCTATCTGGCTGGCCCTGTTTTCTTGAAAATTTAATTAGACTTCTACCTACCAGAAGTAAAAGATTTTTCTGTTTTGACTATTTTAACATAACTGTCTTTAAACACTATCTCACATATTAGGCAAGTGCAAAAGCAGAACTATGCAGTGTTTTAGGTCTTTAAGATTGTAGAATGAAATTGTTTTTCACTACCATATATAGTAGGTGTGTAATGGCTACATGTAGATGTTCATTTCCAACCAATATGCTTTCAAGTGCTTATTGTGAATTTTTTTTTTTTTAATATTTCTAAGATCTAACTGCAGCCATGAGCAGCAATGAGTGCTTCAAGTGTGGACGATCTGGCCACTGGGCCCGGGAATGCCCTACTGGAGGAGGTCGTGGTCGTGGAATGAGAAGCCGTGGCAGAGGTGGTTTTACCTCGGATAGAGGTATTTTTGTCGAATAAAAAATTTTTAAGTACTTGAATATTCACTAGTAGCGAGACTCCTCTAATTAGCCAAATTCTTTTTGTTTCTGCTCAAAATAGGTTTCCAGTTTGTTTCCTCATCTCTTCCAGACATCTGTTACCGTTGTGGTGAGTCTGGTCATCTTGCCAAGGATTGTGATCTTCAGGAAGATGGTAAGTAATTAACTCTTTCGTGTTCCTCTAGACATGTAAAGATTACTGAGTACCACTACAGGTACCACAAGACAAAGAGTTTCGGCCATGAGGTTTCAAGTTGTGTGGGTTGGAATATAACTATAGTTTGAACAGATTTTATAGTCTGTGTCTGCTTCTTTTCCTTATTGTTGAAGCCTGCTATAACTGCGGTAGAGGTGGCCACATTGCCAAGGACTGCAAGGAGCCGAAGAGAGAGCGGGAGCAGTGTTGCTACAATTGTGGCAAACCAGGTCATCTGGCTCGTGATTGTGACCATGCGGATGAGCAGAAGTGCTATTCTTGTGGAGAGTTTGGACACATTCAGAAAGACTGCACCAAAGTGAAGTGCTATAGGTG